AATATATATATATATATATTGCAACTTGTAAAGAACTACGGTTTAATTTACAAATACTAGAGCTTTTAATGATATTTTTAAATACCTCAAAACCGATAAAAACCTTTGGTGTCATTTCTGAAAGAAAACCTTATAACTTAAGACCTAAATTATTTTGAACTTCAAGTTATGCTGATCGCCTTACAGATTCTGAGGAGTTATCAGTTCTAGTAGATAATGAATGAACCGGTATTAATTCGTTCATTAACAACTGTAATTCTATTGAATGTAAAGAGAAATTTGAAGACTTTGAGATAAAAACAATCGAACTTTTTCAATTTTCTAATCTCTACACTAGACTTCATATTGATAATACTAAAAAGAGTGTTTCAACGGTAATTTCAAGATGTTTTTATGGTAATGTTACTTGTAATATGTGTCACTGTTTCAGACTAGATTAATTCTTACAAGCCGTAGATTTTTTTTTACTTCCCACCAAACTTGGCACATTCAGCGAATGAAAGGAAATTTCAGAACCTAATCTTAATGGCAAAGAAGGTCAACTTGATGTTTCTATAAAATGTTGAAAATGCTCAGGTTTATCTAAAGCTTAGTCAGCAATATGTGTCGACCATCATCATGGATTTATGAAGTTTCTATTTTTAGCTCTTTATTTGCAGAAACGATATAACTTCTAGAGCTGAATGGTGATAAGCAAGCGGAAGGTGTTTTGTAGTACAAAACATCAGCATAATGCTGATAACAGAAGTCATCAAGCGAAGGTATTCGGATTTCGAACTTGCTACGAATCGACTACTTTATGCAAGAGCTGTCTTAAAAACTTTTGATCAATATAACCTCTTTGTCGTTTATGTACACAGAAACCCTTCACAGTTTCACCTCGCCATGTTACAGAACACTCATAAAAACATATAGTTGTGTAACTATGAGTTCCTGAGAGTTTTGATAGTGACTTGGTAAAAAAAATAAAAACGCATTAAAACAATTCAATAATTATTGTTTACATAATTATAATTGAACAAATGCCTCGTGCATAGCAGCTGATTATCGTATAATAACTTTAAAAAATCACTTAATAACATTCCTAAACATGTTATTTTCAGATACTATCGTACTTTGTAAGTTAGCGAGTGTTAAGCATAACTTTTTAATAACAAGACGCCGTTGCATATTTGTACTTTGCTGAAAATTATCAAGAGTTAAGCAATACCTAGTTAACAACGAGACGCCATTGCATATTTTACTTTGCTGTAAATTAGCGAGTGTCCAACATTACCTAGTTCACAACGAGACGTCATTACATATTCTACTTTTCTGTAAATTAGCAAGTGTCCAACATTACCTAGTTAACAACGAGACGCCATTGCACATTTTACTTTGCTGTAAAGTAGCGAGTGTTAAACATTACCTAGTTAGAAACTAAAATATTTCCTAAACCAGTATTTATTAAGACGTGAAACAGTCAAGCTATGATCTTGGGCCTTAAAATACTACAGGATCATATAAAGTTATACTTCTTTTAATTAGTCAGATTTTATTAAGAGAGTCTTGGTATTGGTTGATAACTTTTCAAATATGGGTTTAAAATGTTTAGCCTAAATACCAAACATCAGCAACTAAGTTTCATTAATGTGAGTAAGAATTGTTTTTTGTTTTATTCAACATCATTTGGCTGTATATTGGTCAATATGTCCATTATATGCAAGATGGTAATAAAGAGATAGTAATTTCTACTATATTTCATATATTATAAGTCTCATTTTTATTCAGATAATGAAGATACCTTTGAAATAGCTAGTTTACTGACATTAGTTAAATGACAAGGCTCTTAGAAAATCGTCTTTTTCGTGATTTTGTTTTCTTGCAAGCTGGGACTCGTAAGTATTTCGGAATATTAGCTGGCGGAAATCAACTGTTTTTCTGTACTGAATTGACACGTCTATTATTAGCATTTATAAAATTTATATCCTAAAGTAGAGTTCAATGTGTGTTTATATAGGTTACTTTGTTTAAATACTGTTCATATTTTTGAAATATTAGGTGAAGATAAATATTTATTGTAACTGTTCTTGGAAAAAAAAGTTTAAAAAAGAAACTGAAACCTCTCGGAGTTTAAAATGGAACAGGTTGTTTGAAAATGTTATAATTATGCCAATTGTTGTGATTATTATAGTAAATCGTTTCATAAGATAGTGGCTAAAATTACCAGTGTTTTATAAATATTAGTAAGATAAAATCTATAATGAAAGCATTACCACAAAAGATTTAAAAACCAAGTACATTTTAAAGGACTGATACTCTAGCGCTTTCGAACAGTGGATTATTTTCCTGGGAGAAAGCGCTTAAGATTCCGAGTCTTTTGAAATCTACTTAATAAAATAAAACTGATTCATAGCCTACTTTTGTTGAATGAGGTTTATGCGACAAACGTTTTTCACATTAAGTGTATATATATATATATATATATATATATAGACG